TTGAAGGCGGACTTGCGGGCTGACAGCTTCCAATACCTTGCTTCCTCTGGACAGTCCCAGTGTCCCAGGATACCCATCCCTCGATATCTTCCTCCAATGCCGGTTGAACAGCACTATGGAGCGGACATCTCCTGCAAATGGATATGGGTAGGTCAATAACCGGGAGCAACCGCAATGATAGTGATCTTTGAGTGACTAGTTAGTTGTGGTTCATTGACATATTTCTATGTTACTAGGACTCGCGCGGGGCGCGGCTATCCCCATGTGCTATGGGATACATGTCTACCATACCCGCAATTGTCGTCTCAATTGCTGTACTAGGCTATGTACTCCGTAAAACATCGATTGCAAAGCGTCCCCAATGGACCAAGCCTTTCGTTCCAGAGCAGCCTATGACCTCTGACTTGCCAATTGATGGCTCAAAACAACGGATGGGCTGGGTGATAACCCTGTTTGCCATCTCATTGGTAGGGCTATCATCTGAACTTATTAAATTAGTCCTTCTGGGGTGGTCGTCCAATCTTTCTCTTTTGATAGCCTGGGTAAGCCAAGGGTGTCCCTGCAGGGAGTCGTTACACTGACGTTCAAGTAGATGGCCGCAACTTGTTTGATCGCAATAGCCCGTCCGAGGTCTTGCCCTCTTTCTTTACTCAGTTTCTTTATTAGCATACTGGCAGTAGAGACCGCCTATATAACGATCTATGATGCGCATGAATCTACCCTCGCCCCTCATTATGTCGCAGCCGGTATTGCTTTGGTTGGATGTCTTGTAATCCTCATGATGCCCCTTCGAGGTCCTTTACTTCCCTGCATGGATATTGGTGCTGTTGGCCAACCCCCATCCAGTAAATACCGCAGCCCCGAGGACAATTTACGGCTCTGGCAATTTCTGAGCGTGTCGTGGATGGCCCCGTTGATCTCCATTGGCAGGAAGAGGCAGTTACAAGAGGAAGATGTTTGGTTCTTGGGATTCGAATTTCAGCATCGCAAGCTACATGAGAAGTTTCGCAGACTAAAAGGGTCTGTTATTGGCCGATTGCTACAGGCTAATGGCATCGATGTCCTGATCATTACCACCATTGCCATTGTGCAGATGCTTTGCGGTCGGTCTTTAATACAACACCCACCTGTTGTGATGACGCTGACAACGTAGTAGATTTTTCTACACCGGTACTACTCCAGCAGTTGCTACAAGCCATGACTGACCGTGGATCGTCAAACCGGGTTGCCCTGACATATGCTTTGCTGTCTCTTGTCCTCCGCTTGATTGCCGCGCAGTCGCAAGTGTTAAGTCTGTGGTATGGGAGACGTAGCTACGAGAGAAGTCGAGGCGAGATGATCATGATGGTATATGAAAAAGCTCTTTCTAGAAAGAATGTTTTTGATCAGCAATTGGTTGACAAAGCAGAGGAGGATGGGGTGCAAGATGAAGATCGCACTGCTTTGGATGCGCAGCCGGAACAGCGCAAGTGGTGGCAATTCTTCGTCTTTCGACGAGTCACGCGCAAAGAAAAGGCCAAAGAAACTGCTTCTATGGGTAAGATATTCAACCTTTTGCGCGGGGATGTCTACGAAGTGGCCCAGCGTTTCTGGGAGATCGACACGTTGGTCGACAAGCCCCTAGGGCTAGTTATTGCGGTTGTGCTGGTATGGAAACTGCTTGGCCCTTCATGCTTCTTGGGTATTGTGGCAGTTTTGATCGCGCAAGTTTTGAACGCATTTGTCACTCGTGTCCTGCTGCAAAAAGAACGGGTTCGCCGGCTTGCAACAGATGGTCGACTACAGGTCTCCTCCCAGTTTGTGGAGGCGCTGCGTCATCTTCGGTGGTATGGATGGCAGAATCACTGGTTGCGCCAGGTTATGGACGCCAGACAATCTGAACTGAACCTTCGTATTGTCACCATGCTATGGGGTATCGTTATCCGGTTCATCAACACCTTCGCCAGTGGCCTCTTCCCTGTAATAGCGCTATACGCATATACTCTTTTGGCGGGAAACCCATTACGCATCGACGTTATCTTCCCTGCTTTACAACTCTTCACTATGCTCGAGACTCGTCTGAGGGACATCCCGAGTCTCATAACGGTGCTGATCAATGCGTCCATCGCTATGGAGAGAATTGAGGACTTCATGGCTGAGCCAGATAAGGAGCAGAAAGAGGTCATCGAGACCGAGCCAGCATCGATTCAGCTGGAGCACTGCTCTTTTGCCTGGCCTGGTAGACAGTTGCCAGTCCTTCGCGAGGTCGACCTGAGTGTACCAACTGGGCTAACCGTTGTGTATGGCAAAGTCGGAGCTGGTAAAACGGCTCTACTCCAAGCCTTGCTTGGCGAACTGGACAGACTCGCAGGTGTTTCATACGTACCAAATGAAATGATTGGATACTGTGCCCAGACCCCCTGGCTGCAGAGCATGAGTATACGAGACAATATTCTGTTCTCTTCATCATATGATGCGCAACGTTACAGACGGGTGCTGGATGCGTGTGCCTTGTTACCTGATCTGTCTAACTTCAAGCATGGAGATTTGACCTTTGTGGGTGAAAACGGTGTCGGTCTCTCTGGTGGACAGAAGGCACGGGTAGCTCTTGCACGGGCGATGTACAGCACTGCCAGGATACTGTTCCTTGATGACCCCCTGTCAGCTCTGGACCACAACACAGCCGAAACTGTCGCACGCAAATGCTTCTCAGGTCCCTTGATGCAGAATCGTACAATTGTGCTGGTCACTCATAGAATTCACCTGGTTCGACAGATGGCAGATCAGATTGTCCTCATACAGAAGGGCCGCGCAGTTGTCGAAGATAAGCATGAGCTCTCGTCGCATGAGAGTGGTCAATCGGAATCCAGCTCGTCCGATAGTTCATCTAGTACTGAATCCGAGAGCGAAACGGCACCCACCGACGAGACTGCTGCAGTGCCGACAAAGTTCATAGAAGAAGAGCATCGAGCAGAATGGGGTGTCAAAGCTAGAGTGTATTGGAAGTACATCAGAGCCAGCAAGTACAGATGGTGGATAACCCTGATTCTCGTGCTTGTTGTGTACCGGTTCACATCCGTGGGACAATCCTGGTTTTTGAAGGAGTGGGGAGAAGCCTACAATGAAACACTTCTATTGTTCGGATACTCCGGTACGAACAATAAGTCGTTCTCGGGGGACTGGATAACACCGTCGGCCATGGTGAAAATGCTCGACTGGAGACCTTCCAACCCAATTGACAAATTCCCGGCCCCAGTTGAAGATGTCCGTCCGTGGCTGCTGGCCTTCTTCATCATCACCACTTTCCAATCAGTCGTCCTCCTGATTGCGCAACTTGTGATGCTTGTGATGGTCTACAGTGCAGGAAAGACGCTTTTCCAGGAAGTCATGGTGCGAGTGAGCCATGCTACCTTTCGGTTCTTCGATGTGACTCCCATTGGGCGATTAATGAATCGCTTGACCTCAGACATTGGCGTTGTTGATGGAAATATTAGTGAACAGTTCCAAATGATTGCCTTCCAGGCTATTACTTGGATCTCGTCTATTGTTGTGATCGCCTCAGTGACGCCGACCTTTCTCGGATTCTCACTTGTACTAACGGCAGCATTTGTCATGGTTTTTCTGCGTTTTCTACCAACGTCGCAGAGCCTTCGGCGGTTAGAGATGGTGTCACTAAGCCCATTGATATCTAATTTCGGTGAACTGCTTCACGGCCTGACCACCGTTCGCGCATTCCATGCCGAAGGGCGCTTTCAAGATCGAGTCATCGCAGTAGTGGATAAGTTTCAAGGAATGGACCACTTCTACTGGTCTCTCCAAAGCTGGCTCATGTATCGATTCGAGAGCCTCTCCGCTTTCTCGACATTCTGCCTTACTGTCCTGGCTTTGTACACGAGCGTCTCGCCGGGTCTAGCGGCGTTCGTGCTCGTAGCAGCTAATAACTTCGTCGCGTCTACCCATGCCCTGTGCAAGCAATATGGCCAACTGCAAATGGATTTTGTCTCTGTTGAGAGGGTAGACGAGCTGCTTCACGTCGATCAAGAATCACCTGGAACGATAGACCCCCCTGCATCATGGCCCAAGTTCGGCCGTGACATCGTTTTCGAGGACGTGACCATTCGCTATGCGCCTCACCTGGATCCGTCACTCAAAGATGTTTCTCTGCGCATCCCAGGGGGCTCCACGACAGCTATAATCGGCCGAACCGGTAGCGGCAAGTCCACACTGGCCGTGTCCCTACTAAGTGTCATCCGTCCCGACTCGGGACGCATCCTTATCGACGATCTGGACATCACACAAGTCAGTAAACAAGCTCTACGCACCCGAGTCACGTTTGTTGCGCAGGACCCAGTTCTCTTCCCCGGAAGCATCCGCTTGAACCTCGACCCAGTAGAGGAGTACTCTGATGCAGAGTGTGCAGACGTCCTGAAACGAATCTGCAGTCGACACGGCTGGAGTCTAGAGACGCACGTCGAAGCAGGCGGACGGAACCTCAGCCAGGGAGAACGCCAGCTAATTGGTCTCGCGAGGGCTGTGCTACGTCGCAGCTCGATCGTCATCCTGGACGAAGCGACTGCCTCAATTGACCATGAAAGTTCGCTCGAAATCCAACAAGTGTTACGTGAGGAGATGAGGGAGTCGACCGTAATCACCATCGCGCATCGGCTGGAGGCCATCAAAGACGCAGACTACTATATCATGTTGGACCAGGGAGGCGTGTCCAAGCAGGGGTTCGTGAAGGACATGTAAGCGTCCGATAGATAGATATGTAGAGAGAAGAAGAAGCTTTTCCATTTCCATTGCCAGCCAGCGAATACATCACAGTAGAAGTCAAGGCCGAAGAATATTTTCCCTCCATGAACGCCCGCTATTCATCTTGAACCGAGACTCCCACAAACTCCTACGCTGAACCGCAGGCATAAACCACGAGATCAACTCCGCAGGAAAGAAATAAACAACCCCCATCAACTCATCTCCAACAACCCATATGCATCGAGTCAAGTCATGGATACACTCCCCCATCACACGAAAATGTACGCAAAAACCACCCACATAACCCAAATGACAGCTAAATCCTGGAAAACAATACTATCATCCAGCGCACGCATTTCCGACCCACTCTCCGAAGTATGGCTGGCGTCACTTGTCTTGACCGGGGTAGTTTCTGTCTCAGGATCACCGTTCCCCACACCCGTAGATGATGTTGGAGTGCCCGTTTCAGTAGCAATGATTGTGACGGTCTCCGGCGCTGCGGCTTCTGTAAATCTACTGGCATAGATAGTCGAGGTGGAAGTTGACAAAGGCCCGTCATGACCACCAGCAGAAGCAGCAGCGGTAGGGCTATCCATAGTGGAAGTAGGATCAGAGGACAAAGTAGAGAACCCCATATCCTGGATGGAGAAGGAGGATGGGGGTATTCTTCCCGGATCAGAGCATGCGCGTTTACGTAGAGCGGTTTTCTCTTCCTGCGTGGCTGCAGTTGCGGTTGCAGACGGAGGAGCAGAGGTCATGCTCGGCAGCTTGATCAGGGTGAATGATGGTTTAGATGTAGATGAAGCCTTTCGCAGATGAGTAGCCGGCAGAAGAGGAGGAACAATGGGGAGCGTAGGGCCAGCGGATGGATCTTCCGTCGGAGTGAAGAGAGGATAGCCGTATTCTTCTTGCTCATTGCTGTCAGGATAGTCTTCGTCAGAGTCGTCATCAAAGTCTTCGTCGAATTCTTCGTCAGAATATGCGTCAGAGTATTCGTCCAAGTCTTCATCAAAGTTTTCATCCTCGACATCCAGGTCGAAAGCATCCTCTGCATCACTGGAATCGTCCCAAGTCTGGTCGTCAACCTCATTCTCGTCATCGCAGAGAATAGTCTCCGGCACAGAGACAGGAACAACATCTCTGGACTTCTTAATGATGGCATAGCCTGTTCCATTGAAGGCGCAGAGAGCGTCACCAGCCGATGAGGTGGTCTCATAGCCTGCGCTTTCATTAGTACTGAGTGGGTTATATATATTTGGGGTGTAAGTACAGGTAGCTTTCTCCTCATAGCCCTCTGGGAGCAGGTCCTTCAGACTATATATTCCATTGCTGTGAGTATCACGTCTATTCGTTAGAAGGAAGAAGTCCAGCGTACAAGAGGTTGCATAAACTGATCTCCACAGTGTGCTGAGATGCACAAGTGATGATAGTCGGGCCCTCAAGGGAGCCGGAGGCGCAGTAGCTGCCGCCAGGCTTGGAGCAGACGAGCGAGTTAGTCTCAGGGTCACTATTATTTGGTTACATTTTGGTTAGATATCCTGTTCGTCGTAAGAAATAGGGAGAGGGTAGGCAGACTATGCTATCTGCGCAGCGGCAGTGAGCAGGAGTGCCAGTAAGGTGGTTAGGGCAAGGAAGTTGGGAGCCATGGTGATGGTCCTGATCTTAGCGTTGGGATACTGGCGGCGTTTGGGATGGAGGAGATGAGAAGGATAAGGGGGAGAGAAGGAGTAGAGAGATCTGGAGAACTACGCAGTTTGGATCTGTATGTTTCTATGTGAACGCGCCAGGCGTCTTCGACGCGTCTGTAGATAGCTTCGCGACTTGTGTTGCATATAATCCAGTGAATGGACATGCTAATGGCTCATGCTGCTTGTGCTTGTGCTCACGTGGTAGTACAAATTGTGTGATAATGTTCATAAGCAGGAACGGCAAGTTGGATGACCAAATCAAGTGTATTAGCATTTGCGACCTGTGCCAGACATGCACAGATGGAGTCTATAAGATGGTATAACCGCAAAAGCAGAGACAATTCGGACGTGGTCCAACAATCCAGCCGCAAGCAACTTTTTATCCCAAATCAGCCCTGTCAAAACGCCATACTCGCCGATAGAAATGCATCAATTCAAATCCCAATCATGACCGGCTCTGCTGCAACTTGCGGATCCTCCGCTTCAAGTCTCCCTCCGTCTGCTGCATCGGGTTCAATTTCCGGTCGCGAGCCATGGCCGAGTAGTTGTCTCCGTGCTTCTCGATCAATCTCGTCACCCACTCTTGCTCTCTGGTGCTCTGATGGCGCGGCTTCTTCGCCCGGACGGCCACTCCCTCCTGCGCAGCCTGGCGCTCGAGTTGCTCAACAATACCATTTCCGGAGGCGTTTTGGCGGGGTTGTGTGACAATCTCGTTACTCGACAGCTCGTTCAAGGGATCGTTCAGCGGGTTGTTGCGCTTGACCTTGCGTCCGGCGATTTCAACCTCTTCGTCGGCCGCACCGCGAATCACACGCAGAATCTTGCCGGTCTCGGGATCACGCTCAACCTTGATTTCGCTTGTGGCAGTTTGCTTGGCGAGCGCCTCGGTGCTGCTCTTGATGTACAAGGAATCTTCGGGCTCTCCTTGGATACCGTCCGCGGTTGCGCGCTTCTGAGAACCACCGGATGGAGCATTGAGGCGGTGGACGAGACCCAAGCGGCGGTAGTTTTGGGTGAGAGTTTGCTTGCGGTCCCTATAGAGAGCAGTATTAGTATACAGTCCAAAGGTAATTCCTCTTCCATATTTGTTCTGTCGGGTCGTAAACGTACCAGTTTTCCGCAATGATAGCATTTCCCAGAACATTGATCTTCTTCTTGCCGCTCTTGAGGAGACCGGCTCTCTTGGCCTTTGCCTTGGGCAAAGAAGATCTCTTCTTCTTGGCTTGTCTGATGTTAACCATGGTGCCAGGTATGGGATTTGTATATCAAAAGTGGGGTGATGTATTCAAAGGACCGGAATTGAAGCTCAAAAAATTGCGGCGACAGAAAACGGATCTTATCGAGTTTGCATGTTTGCACTGATAGGGGCTTGGCGTGTTTGCTGCAGGGTCCCGATACGGCGATAACAAATCAAAGCCGGGATTTGGAGATCCGAGAACGGCGTATCATATTTATCTCACCGGCAGCTATTCCCCTCTTGTTTTTCTCTTTCTATCAAGTCCTCTTCTACTATTTTTTGGGGTAGCCTACAATTGATCAATTGCTACTATGGCGCCCTCTCTTCTGGCTCCAGCTCGGCGCATGGGCCTTGCGCTCGCCGCGGGTCTCGTTCTCTTCTCCGCACTAGCTGTTGCGCATGATGCTATCTCTGTAGGGGACATGTCCGTGGGACAGATTGAGGAAGAGTTGCAGGTACGCCCGTGCCCCCTTGCATCCTAGATGTTCTGTCTGGGATAGAGAGCCATCGATCTCCCCATAACACCCTCAACATACCCATTGTGTACTAATGCCATGTAGAACTGCCCCCTCGTCGAGTCCCTCAATGAGCATAAGCGCGCCGCAGCCCCCCAAACAACCAGCTTGACGTCCAAGATCTTCTCCATCCTCTTCCCCAGCAGCCCTGCAGTCAATGCTATCCTGGCGACGATCTACATCTCCGGCCCACCCAGTATGTGACTTTCTCGCATTCAACCTCCAACAATCATAACCATATCCCCCGCACTAGACTTCCTGCTGGCCCTATGCCCTCCAAACATCGACCCTTCCTCCCTGTCCGTCATGGTCGCCTTCGCCGTCGGCGGCCTCCTAGGCGATACCATCTTCCACCTGCTCCCTGAGATCTTCCTCGGCGAAGACTCCCCCGATCACGTCCGCTTCGTGATGGTCGAGCCGAACCGCAACCTCCTCCTGGGCCTCGGTATCATGGTAGGCTTCTTCACCTTCGTCGCAATGGACAAAACCCTACGTATCGCCACCGGAGGAGCAGGACACGACCACTCCCATGCCCACGCCAACACCGACGACCACAAACCCACCGGCACAGCAACCGGCGCCTCCCCGCAACCCTCCACCTCACTGAAACAGCGCAAGCCCGCAAGCAACAGCACCACCACCCCCCAACCCACCGACACCGACGACGACGAGAAGGAAATCAACCCGAGCGTCAAACTCGGCGGCTACCTGAACCTAATCGCCGACTTCACGCACAACATCACCGACGGCCTCGCCATGTCCTCCTCCTTCTACGCCTCCCCCACCATCGGCGCAACCACCACCGTCGCCGTCTTCTTCCACGAAATCCCCCACGAGGTCGGCGACTTCGCCCTCCTCATCCAATCCGGCTTCTCCAAGCGCAAAGCCATGGGCGCCCAGTTCGTCACCGCCATCGGCGCCTTCCTCGGCACTTTCATCGGCATCGCCGTCCAAGAGCTCGGCGGGAATAGCTCCTCGGCAGCAATCACCGATAGTTGCCTGCCCTCCTCTGGCCTCCTCGGAACAAGTCTCACCTGGGGCGATATGCTCCTCCCCTTCACGGCGGGGACATTCCTCTACGTGGGAACAGTCTCCGTTATCCCGGAGTTGTTGGAAACGGGCAAGGATAAGCGCGTGGAGATTAAGAAGACCATTGTGCAGTTCTTGGCTGTTATGGTTGGGGCTGGGATTATGCTTGTGTATGTTTATTCCTATCCCCCCTCCTCCTCGTATGACGTATCGTGATTTTTGTATCGCTAACGGTTGAGATAGCATTTCATGGGATTAGATCACGCGCCTAACGCGATAGTTCGAGCGATGATTATGAGTAGAACGCATGTTGAAAGATGAGAGATGAGATGGCATATGGATATAGAATTAGTAGTAAATAATGATGGTGTGAACCATCAAAGAATAGACAATTTAATATGATCGAGGTTTCTTACATGACTACTCGTAGTATCCGATCATACTACCACATACTAAGAGTTCAAAACCTCTGACATAGTAATGCCTAGATCGACCCTACTTTACATAATTATGAGCCCATTGAACAGTTAATATGATACTACGTATGGCACACTATGGGGGAGTAAAATGTATAGCAAATGGGCATAAAACCTAACTATTTATATAGTAGTAGTTGTTGTAAGACAGCTACTCAGCCAGAAACACCAGAACCACTAAGCGCCCAGCGCGCGGACGGAACATGAAACTAACTCCTCGGGTAGATGTAGATGGATAAAAGCGTAGTCAGTAAGTAGCAATAGTAGACGTGGATCGTCAACTAATATAGTCTAATCAAAGCAAAGTAAAGCAAAGCAAAATACATTCTTTCATTCCGGTCTATAGTTGGTGTTCGCTTCATGTGAACTCGTCTCGTAATTGGAATCTATCGCATCACTCGTTATAGTGATACACCTGTGTGGCCATAGCGTTAGTGGGGTCAATCAAATGAAAGAAGGAATTGGGGGCAACATACAAAGTAATCAGGCAAGCCGTAGACGGAATATCCCAGTCGCTTCGCCATCTTAGCGAAGCCCTCCGTTTCGACGAGGTGATAGAATGGGAAGGCGGGGAACATGGCGCCGTCGCGATGCACGTCCGCCTTAACAAGGAGTGCGGTTCCACCGACGCCGTCAAGTTCCATTTCGCGGCTAGGACGGGGCGCCCCGGTATTTGCCATGTAGGCCATCAGGGTGCGGTAGGTGGGCATCTCGGCGTATCCCTCGAGGAGGATCTCATCTGGTCCCATCATTCCCGCCAGCTCTTCGGCGGTCGAACTGTCGATCCACGAGTTGAAGTCGTACGGGCGGACGTCCATCTTCTTGGTATCCTTGTTATAGTAGCGCTGGAAGCAGTTCGGGACGATCACGGGTCGGTTGTGGGCAGTCAGGTCTTGGATAAGGGTGGCTGGAGTCTCGACAATGTCGGAGTCGAGCCAGAGCACCCAGGAGGTGCTGGGACCGAGGGTGGTGAAGAGGAGGCTGTTGCGGGCGCGACTCATGGACTCACGACGGGCTTTCTGGTTGGACATTTTATGGCGCTCTTTCTCGTCCTGCGATTGAATGGGCGGGTCGAAGTCCTGGCGAAGGATGCTGATACTGGCGAAGCGGCTGTCAACCGGACCGGACTGAGTCTCGCTGATGGCCTGTTCCAGCGCGGTGACAGCGGCATCACCGTCCTTGGTTTTGGGGACGATGAATCCAATCGAAATAAGCTCATGTGGGTAGCTCAATTTCACGACATTATCCCAGAATTCTTGGTAGAAGCGGGCCAATGGGGTCAAAATCAGCACCCGTTCCCCTTTCTTGATAGATTCGCTGGTGCTGCTGAGCTCGTTGAGATTGTAGTGCATCACGGGCGGGGGTGCTTTCTGGCCATCTTCGCGGACGGCTTGAGATTTGAGGAAAGGTTTCGTCGGAGGAGAAAGGGGATGTTCGGCCGCATCTTCTCGTCGTAGTTGCGAGGAGGAATCGGTGACAGGAGCGGCGGCGGCGGCGGAGGAGGAAGGGGACAGCAGGAAGCAAAGGAATCCGAAAGCTAGCAGGGCAGCCAGGAAGACCGTAATGGGGCTTGTGCGACGCATCGAGCGTGCGACGGCCATCGTAGCCGTTTGCTGATCGAGGGAGAAGTAGGAGGTTCGCAGTTCAAGGTGGTGGTTGTGGTTGTTGAAATGCGCGATTGGATTAAGGCGGCGACGGCGGAATCGATCTGGCCCGGCGAGAAGTCGAGTGAGAGCTCTTTAGCCAGCAATCATAAGGGGAATGATCCGGGCCCCGGACATAGCGGAAGAGACTGTAGAAGGGGAAGGAGAGTAAAATGAAGAAGTTTGAGGTGGATGAGCGGAGGATGAGGCGGGAGAGAAGGGAGGGCAGATTGGAGATGACGGGATGGAACGAACCATGGCCAGATTGAAGCTGGCCGGAAAAAGAACACGCGGAGCCCGAACTCTCGTCTCTCTCTCTCACTCATTCCTCTCCTGCTTACCACAGCATCCTGTGTCCCCCTCTCACCGATCTGAATCAGCCAAACCTGATTCCTTCGCAGATAAGACTCCCAGAGTTTTTGATCCATGGATCGTACGAGGTAGTGGAAGGTGCCGCAGTGGCTGCATTGGGCAAGGCATCGCCGCATGCGGCCGTTGCACCAGTCTAGATTTGATGAATATCCCTGCTGTGAGACGCGCCACGATCGGGCCCGCTTTATGGGTTGGCTGGAGAATCCATTCTATTTCTATCGTCTATCACATTACAACGTAGCTTTTCTTCGGGATCTATTGGAGTCCCGTTCATCTTGATCGTTCGGGTATAGCCAGAGTTCTGTAGCTTCACCGTCTCCTCACGGCAGCCACCGCATCACACCCTCAAATGCAACCAAAGCCATAGCATTCGCCGGGAATGCTCGTAAGAAGCATGGCACAAACCCTCGCCAATATCCTCTCCACCCTCGTTCCCGATAAACTGCCACTGCAGCATCCTTCCACCACTGGAACTTGCGCTGCCCGTCGCCCAGTGCGCCTCCCATCGGGTCCGTCATGAGCCGTTGCTTCACCACATCGGACGGATACGACGTGATCCAGAAAATTTGCGCGGAAATCCCCCCGGCCCAGAAGTTGATGGCAGGGGCAGACAGGCTGGTCTTCTCCTTCATCAACCGGGTCAGGACGTCGTAGGAACCCCACCAGAAGAAGAAGAACGACCGAAATACCATGGTCGCGCATAGTCCACGATATAATCCAGCAATGCCGTGGGTGCGAAGCTACAAATATCGAGTCAACCATCAAACCCGAACGCTTTGAGTGTTTGTATTTCTTACCATCTTGCGAACACAATCTATAGGTCCACTGTACAGACGTTTGGACTTATCCGCAGAGTACTGGATCTGAAGACGCGCCTTGACGTGCTCCACCGGTGCGGCAATGAAACTGACTGTCGTTCCGGCCATGATGCCTGCAATACCATGACCGAAGCTAGGGAGAGTGTGAAGATCCGTCTGCTTGCCAATGAACGGCATGCTTGCACGAATCTCCGGTTTTGAAAACACATTTTCCAGTAACAGTCGGCGATACAAGGTTAACGAACCCAGCATGCTGTGTTTGACCCATCAGTCCTTCTGTGTCTTTTTGATCAATTTCCAGCCGCCGGGCAAGCTACTCACACAGAGTCCATGACCATCCAACCGACCAGCGGCGGAGTGGCTCCCTTATACAACCCACTAACACCCTCCTTGCGGACTGTTTGTAGCACGCAGTCCAATGGACCCCGGAAATGCCCATCATGGCTCGTCTGTAAGCGCACCTTGATTGTGTCGAACCTGCGAAATCCATCCATGGTCAATTTGTGACATTATAGGGGGTTGTCCATAGAGAGGTAGTATAAGTGGTAGGGAAGAGGTAGTAGGTGCGTGATCACGTACGGATGGCCAACTATGGATCAGAATCTGTTAGCGATGGTCACTTCAAGACGAGACGAAAGCTCGCGGACTATGCCCGGCGCTGGCAAGAACATACCACTTAATTTGGCAATTCCGGAGAAGACTCCTGCTACAAAGCCTTTATAGTCATGCTTCGAGCTTTGGGGCTTTGGCGGACTGTGCTTTGGTGTATCGGCCTCGGTCATATTTCCGGAAGAACGTTGCTCTGCTATCCCGGATGTTGTGGCAGTCGGCAGCGGTGCGGACGTCGACGACATTATCGACAGTGGCAGTGCTCGTATGTCGCAAAAAGCCGGTATGTTTCTCCCCCCTATTAAGACTGAGTGGGAGTGTCAATTGGAATTCGGCTGCGTTGGACCGAGGATCAAAAATTCGTGAAGGTCTGTCGGGGTCCGCTATCGGACAAAGCAATGGGCGGGATTAACGAGCGCACGAGAGGTCCATTGATGGTTGAGAGCCACCACTTCTAACAATGATAGGGAATGAGGGGAATAGTTCTCAGGGCATGTAGATGATGGGCAGTTGTAGGAGAGAAAAAGATGCCCCAGCGGAGTAAAAGGCGAAAGACGGGGGAAGAGGAACAAGCAGAGCAAGAAGATGATGCGCCCCGCAAAACCCGGCGGTTCGGGGAGCAGCAGCCCAGCTCCGACCGGATAGGCGGCCGATCGGGGGGCAAATGGGTTGGGGGAGCCACTCACGGCGCTCCAATTCATTGCGACTAGTACAAAAGATGGAGTACTAGACTAGTAGTACAAAGTAGTGGTCACTAGATATGCAGTAATCATCTACAATTGCAATTAATGAGCAGTCGGCAGGTCAGTGCGATTGCTTTTTCTGAAGGTTGATCGAACCCAGTAAGTTCATTGCTTATTTCGCAACTAGCAATGAAACACCTCTCTCTTCTTCTATACTGCTTGTCGCTTTCTTTAATCGACTTCTTAGTATATAACAATCTGAGCGAAACGTCGCATTCCAGTCCCACCTCAAGGATGACAGGCTGTTTCTGTTCAATCCATGATGATACAATGCCCGAAATAACACAGTGTCGTAAGAAATAAAAAGGCGCAATACACAGTTCTGGAAACAAGGGAGCGTCGACCCCAGTGGGAAGAATAGCAGAACAGGACAGGAAATACAAATATCCGGGAAAGCCCACGGATCAGCTGCGGGGTATAGTTGCATAATTTCATAATACATAGATGTGGTTTTATGGAAATGTGAAAAGAAAAAGAAGATGAATCGGCACGAACGGCCTCGAAAGAGAGTAGAATCATATCATGCATTAAGCACATAATCGATGCTGTCCTGCAGGCCACCGATGGCACTCAATGTAACCCGGAGTCCGAAGTCCGAGGTCTGAGTCATGTCCTAGTACATAACTGTGCTGACAACCAGATGCAAGAGGACGGTTGCCGCTGTGGATGGATGGATGGATGGCTGGACGACAGCTCTAGAAGCCTTTGAGGGGCTTCATGGCTTTCTGTCGGTTGCGTTCGGTCTCCCGAGCGATTAGCCTGTCCACCATATCTGGGGCCGGCCCAGAGTGTTCTCGAGAGGAGAAGTCGGAAGAGCTAGAGGGGCCCGAGGTCAGATAACCACTGGCCTCTTCCAGCGCCAGCGGGGTTACCGGGCCAGGGCTGCGAAGAGGGTCTAGTCGCGGAGCGGATGGGCCCGGCGATAAGGTTCCAGGAGTCTTGGGCAGGGCAGCCCCATCCACAAAGTCTCGATACTGCCACATTCCATCACGGGAGCCAGAAGACGTGCGATACCCGTGCTGTCGAGGCTGGCGTGGTGAAGAAGGCTGTGCTTGAGTGCTGCCGGATGACTGATAGACTGCAGGATGGAATCGTGGCAAGCTTCCTAAGTGGAAGGCAGGCATGGACTTGGAGGTGCTTTGTCCCTGCGAGCGAGAGGGCTGCGGGGAGGAGGGACGTCCAGCTGGAGACATGGCGGGGGAGATGGCGGACGGGTAGAAAGTTGAGCTGTCAGAACGCATTCTGGACGAGGGTGAACGATGAGGGTGATGATGACCAGATCGACTGGTCTTGCGATGGAATTCCCTTTCTCGCTGCCCCTCGGGGGTGTGGTCACGATGGGCAAAATAATAGCCTTTATCAAAACGCCCTGTTAGAGGGGTGACGGGAAAGTCTTTATCGCGGAGGGAGGGAGACGGCTTGGGGATGGGAATAGGCCGGGAGGTTGACTGGGTGAGAGTGAGGGTCTCGAGGGAGTCTGATGTGTCTGAGCTCGACGAGTCGGGGGAAGGTGGGTTATATGTAGATGAGGTTGCGGTTAACTCCTGGAGCGATGACAACGAAACGCGGGTGGGGTGACCGTGTCTGGCAATGAGACTTTCTAAATGGTCTCGGGCACAGAAGCTGGACGGCCGATAGGAGGGCGACCAGGAGGAGGAAGAGAGATTGGCTAGTGGCAGCACGCGATCAGCATGAATCATTGGGAATGTGCAGAGGTAGATGCCACACGTGTCAGGTGGGGATCAGTTTTTTGGAACAGTGCCAACAACTGAAACGCAACAGCAAAGCAAGACTTTGACCAGGCAAAGAAGACTAAAAAGTAAGAAGAATGCAGAGGGGCCAATCAGGATGTTGACGTTGGGAGGAAAGAAGGGTGAGATCTGCCTGAGAGGAGTGGGGAAGGCAACGAGGCATGGTTGGACGGAAGGTTTAATGGAGGGGGGAAGGAAGATGAACTGGTTGATTGCAGAAGGAGAAGGAGAGGAGAGGAGAGGAGACTGATAGTACTTACTGCTGAGCAATGGCGGAGAGTGACAGGAACTGTGTGAAGAAGGATACAGGGAAGGCGAGGAGAATGAGGCGGACGGAGAAGAAGAGGGTGGAGAGGTAGCCATTGACGAGGGAGGGGGGTTCCCTTTCCCTTATGAATGATTGGTTTTTTTTTTCTCTCTTTCTCTGTCTTTCCTTTTGCTTTGTCTCTTGGCCCTTGATTTTTTTTGTTACCCTCTTTTTTCCTTTCCCCAGTTGTCAGCACCGTAAGTGGATAAGCCGGATGGGACGATGCCAATCCAGGCACCCCCGGATGACTTCTCCCTGACAGTGACAGGTACAACTGTGTGTCTCTCCTCCGCGGATGCCGCCGTCGCCGTGATACAATGACTCAGGGGAAATATCATGCAACTCCCCTCTTTCGGTCTTGCCTCACTCTTGATACTGCCGTCTTTGATTTCTCTCTTTTTTTTGTCCCTTTCCTCCTCTGTTTTGATCCCGAACTCTACTTTGTCCTGAGCCAAATTTCTTTTTTTCTTCTCTGCCCACTACCTCCTCCAGAACTAAGAAATTCTAATTTGATCGTCAGCTTGCGGGGAAACTCAAAACCGTCACAAACAGCAGCCGAACCCATGGCGTCATGGCGGGAGACGCGGGATCCAAAGCCTGGAGAGAGAGGGGCAAAGCGGAGCTCCCACGGTACGGTACGGTATGGTTACCGCTCATCCGGGTTCCACTCCACTCCGCTGCAACAAGAGAAAAGAAAAAAGAAAAAAAGATGCCAAAAGGGTCAATGTAAGAGGGTGACGATCTGAGGTGATAGTACCCTGGGGAGGCAAAAAGAAACAAAAAAGAGGAGAATCCATCCACTCACATGGAAGCAGCCGCCTTCTCACCACACACCCTCCAAACTGCAGTATTGTTTCTATAGGCCGCACAGACAATCAAGGCGAGGGTCGACTATCGTATTCCACGACGGGAAGGAGGGGTGATTGGTTCCTGAGGAACCGACGGGCACTAGTCGTGATCGGGGCTAGTAAGTACTCACTAGTAACTTACCGCCAGTGGGAGGGAAAGCGGTCACGCTGATGGAGGAGGAGAAAAAACGAGGAATGAAACCTAGCCAAACAAGGCAAGAATGCAGACGGTGACAATAATAATATAGCAAGATAATGATTATAAGGCAGGTCACGTTGCAAGGTTAAAGGAAGGAGTCCAAGGCCGGTAAATGCCAGCGAGTGGATGGTTTAACCAGCACGTTCTTGGCAGGTCTGTTTGGAATCCAGTTGGAGACACCCAAGGAATTATGCCTTGGTCCTGGTCATGCAAATGGATGAACAGGGAGGAATGGACAGTTGCTAGTCAAGCTATGAGTAACCCCGTTCGAGAAAGTGAACGATGTCACTCACCTATCAGCCGCCCCAAAAAAGAAAGGCGAGAAAAAAAAAAGATGAAGTAGAAGTAACTACTCCGTAAACTCGGAGAAATAGTAAGCAGATGGATTCGGACAAAGGATGAAGTTTGTACAACATAAAAAACGACGACCGCCAGATATCATCTCCTCTCCTCTGGCATGGACTCCGCGGTTGTTTATATTCACCTCCAGGCTCCTCAGCAGCACTTCCCTCCGCCTGATACCCCTGTTCAGCCGATGAAACCTGTTGTTAACCACACGCGGGAAACTCGGGTGACCCGGCCGGCTACCATCGCAGAGGCACAATGGAGTCAGAGCACACATCTACTAGTATAACAATACGCTCAAGAATAATGGACAAAGCCAGGATCGCCTGGACTTAGACGGAATCCGAGCGAGACACTCCCCCTCCCCCAAGTGAGTCCACTGTTGCCCGGGTTTTCCTGGTCGAAGCTGATGGGAATCAATCCTGGACGGAGACTGGCTATCGGTCTGGAGGGGATGGCGACACTATCGAGACGCTATCAGGGACTAACTGCTGCTAGCTGGAGAAAGAATACTATTGCTGCGAGTCATCCATCCAGTAGTGCATTGTAACCCCAGACCCAAACGACTCTCTACGCACAGTCGATCTGCAGCTGCCGGTGTCACAGAGTGCCCTGGCCATCCCCCTTCGAACTGCGGAGAGCAGAAACTAGGGCTGGGAACTTTTTTCATCCTTCCAGTCCACACCTTCGATCGGTCCAGGCCACAACAACCGAGAAAATTCAAAGATGGTCTAGATAGGACGGTCTACGATGGTCTACCCACCATGCCGTTTAGCATCAATACTTGTCGACTTAGTGCCATTCAACATGGCTGAAAACCATCACGAAGAATGTGAGAGGGCGAGAGCGTCATTCACGCCGTGCTGAGCGATCAGACGACTTCCTCTAGTCTCCCCTCCATCACACTCGCTCGACCAAATGCCCCGCCCCAAATTTTTACCAGCGACGCGTCTGGATTCATGATCGGATCTGCCTGGCTACTTGGGGTCTACTTTGCATTGACCTTTTCGCTTGGTGATTTCGGCCGTTTCAGGATCCAATGATGTTGGGTGGAACTCGATTCCCAGAGTGGCAAACGCGGTGTTCCTGAGGCAGGAAAATAGCCGTGAAGAGATTACAAGTTATGTGGGTTCCATATGCTCTACAGGAAATTATTTGCTAGCCAGTCCGTCTTTACAGTTTGCCCAACAATCCCTGTTGCCGTATACTTTTCTGTCTGGTCCGTGAAGGCTCATTGTCCCGCCCTGCCGGATAAACCCTCGATCCATGGCGCAGGCACCAGCATAGATCTTACACCAGGATGTCCTGACGAAAATTTATTTGCTCGCGGGTCTGGAGGGTAGGCTTCGTCAGACGCAACGTTGCCCCCCGGGCAGATCGACTCCAGTTGATTTGTCCGTTGCCTTCGAGCCAGCTACATATTTAGTTACAGACTGGTGGTGGTGACTGTGATGCAGATCAATCACGCGTCACAATGGCGGATTCAATCAATCAATAACCCCACCATCCACTGTGACTGGAATAACCCCTGCAGGGCTGACTACCTAGGCCGCGCTGGTGCTTCACCTCTATCACTTGTTGCTCGTCACACCTTCCCCTCCTCTCTTCTATTGCCTTTCGTGGATTTGGCATCGACTTTGGATGGGGGCTATGCTAGACAACGTGCGCGTCCAAGACAACAGATCCCGTGCTACGGTCGCCCCTCCCATCTGTCGATATTAAAGTCATGCCCTGACTAGCTTATTGGCTAGCATTGACGTCAGAGGTCTGAAATAGGAAGCTGGTCTTTATGCAACTGAAACACTTGCCGGTGTCCTAACGTCCTGGGCAAAGGATGCCAGGTGCGACTTGTCGACGAACAGCCGTTGGTACCAAATCCATCCCTGTCTCTGAGCGTGGTCTGGATCCATGGCTGGGAACGTCCCTCCGACACTAGCATACACTCCGACATAGCGGCATCCAACAGTGAGTGCAGAAGCTTTCATGAGAGCTGCCAGGGCCGAGTCTGTGCGTATGCAGCCTGGTAATGCATCTGTCCCGAGCAGGATCTGGAAGTACAGTACATTGTGTGAGCGATTTACCATGACCTTATGAATTGGGATCTTAATGAATCCACTTGAGTGGATTGTCGCAAAGCCTCGTTGACTCATTCGAATACTGTCCGGCCATGTATAGCCCCCAGACAAGGCCCGGGCATGATGTGGATGTCTTGGTCTGGATGCTTACAGTCAGAACCTAAATATGAGCACGCCAACTAGAACAGCCACACTTACGGGACACCTGACACCAGCTCGGCTGTAGGCACACCACTCTAATCCCCGAACCAACATCTTTCGGATGCCCTGATTTTGAGCGAGGGTAGCGTCGGCCACCCAAGCCACCTATCTTTAGCCAATCACTCCTCTAATTTCAGACCTGATAGCTTTGCTTCGACCTGACTGCGCTTGGAATCGGCTGCTCTGGCGCTCAGACAATAATAGCTTGACTGGACCACAGCCAATCAAACGATATTCGGCGGTGATGACCAGACATTATACGTCCGTGCTAGAGTGAGTATACTGTAGAAAGACGACGATCACTCAATATTTAGATGATCTTTCAATCGAGGTGTGTGGACCGTCTAGAGCTGATAGCATAGCCTCGGTCAATACTGAGAACATTGCTCCAAACCCTGACAAGCGATCCCGGCAAAAACACCAATATATTGAAGCTGCCAAGGTATATTCCGACTTCTCTATAGCGGATGAAACCATCTAAGTCTCACTATATCCATAGTAGTTCTAGTATCCGGTCTACAGTAACGCAGCTCGGAGAACTTCCGCGACACATCTGGACTGACGCATGGGATACCGTGTCTAGAGCATACGGTGTTTGTAATCGACGCCCAGAATGCTCGTAGCCCGTATACCCCGACCCTGTTCAAGGATTATGCTTAGCAGGGACTATTTGTTCGATGTAATGAAATAAGACATGATTGGACGCAGGCCGCGCATTACCCGGCTGGTGACTGGCTATTACTTACTAGTGACAACTACTCGTACTTACTAAGTATCTTTTCAGGACTTATACTACGGTATGTCCACCGGTAAGCCAATGATTCATGTCTTTGGGAAATCTTCTTCTTTGTTTAAGGTACACCTTGGGAACTGAAGTATATCAATGCATCTTCGTTGGCCCCATTAACAGGCTGAATAACATATCCCGCATTGGGCAATTGGTAATGGCAATGTAATACCTCGTTTGATTGGAG